GTAGCAATCTAGGTTGTCGTCCAGAGGATTGCCAATTTCATCAGATGTTCGGAACGCAGACGCAGTTTAATTTGTACGTACCACCCCCCGAGCATCTAGACAGAAAACCTTAGTTTCACGTACCCACTTGCAAATTGTAGATGTCTCCACCGTACGTAAACAATGGGGTCAGCCAAAGTTGGTGGCACAACTTTTTTCACATCAGAAAACATGTTTTTGTTTCACTTCATGTGGACTTCGAAAGCAAACCAAGAATAAATTTTGAGTGAGACGTATTACTTTATTAATCCACCAGTGGTGTGATCTGGCACTTCTTATTTCTGTAAATTCTGATATTCTTTTTAAAAATTACCCCGAAAGCACCACCCTAATAAAAATGTTCCATACACGAACCATAACCCAAATGGTTTAACCATATGACACATAGTTCGGAACCTGCACAGGTTTTTAAGCACTTTTTATGGCTATTTCCTATGTGGGCACTGGGCAGTAACCCGATTAAAGGGTTTCGTTTATTTCGGTTATGTGGTTGCCGACAAACATCACTTAGTTCCCGGATTTTTGGGTCTTGTTCCGTCCACATGTCCGAGACCAGTTAATCGATTGAAAATCTATTAATTAACATTCTATAGAATCATGGTAGCTTTCATTTGGTTGTTGTTGCGTTCAATTCGGTAGAGTGGTTGCCGAGAAATACATATAAGAAAATTGTCTTACGCGCTCTCTCACACACATAAATAGACAGACATTTTCCGATCCCGTCATGCTGAGTCGATTGGAAGACTATTAGAAAAAATATCAATGTTATTATAAAAAGTTAAAAAAAAAAACAAAAAACTTAAAACCGGGAAAAAAAAGTTGATAAAAAAATAAGACCAATTGTAAATTTACTCCACCATTATTCGATTTGACAGAACCAGAGTACCAGAATTTTCGGGGTACATTAGCATTACACTGGAGCTGTCTAGATGCTCGGGGGGTGGTACGTACATAACGATGAACATGCTCTGAAAAAGCGGCATGTCGACAATCGTTAGTATCGCCTGGTTGGTGATAAGTGGGACCAGAAGCATCAGTATCAATCTGGAAGAAAAAGTGCGATAGTCACTAGATGGATATTTACAAAATAACTTCAGGCATAAACAAACCTCTCATTCGATACATCTTCGATTTGATGAAAGCGATACTGATCCAACCACTTAGATTGAATACTGATTGCTGATACGGATACGGATACCGGATTCCACGTAACGACAATTGAGAATCACATCGTGGCTGAGCAGTGGGTTTCGGAATTAGTATAAATTTTTCATCTCCGCCAACTTCAGCTTGAGATTCTGGCTTTTCAGTGGACGGATCTCAATGTCTGAAAGATAAACGTTAAGGTTTTAACCTCGTTGTAACTGCTATTGCTTTTAAAAACAACACAAAAAACACTGGTTAGAACCTGAGCAATCAGATTTTCTATCAGAAGGGCTATTCGACTCCCTGCGGTTCCACGTCACACAGATACTTGACCTCAATCCTGTCCAGGAAAACGCTTTGCACCGGTTTCTCGTTGCTCTTGTTCACCAGCTCCTTGACATCATTGTGGATTTTAATGTGATCAGCATACATGGATGGCTAGCTTTGCCAGTTTATCACCCCGTCACGATTACCTTAATCAGTGGTATACACTGACAGAATTTAGCACCATTATTCGGATTTAGTATAATTTTGAAATAAATTTTAATCGAATCAATGTATAAAAATGGGATAAACATAAAATGAATAAATTTTAATCTTTCCAAGTTAGTAATATTTTTGAGTGTACTTTTTAATCAAAGCTAATACCCCGTTCTCATTACACTCAATATCACGTGATATAGAGCGATTCGTGATATACCAGCTATATCACGTTCTATATTACGTGATATCCCATACAAACGATCTGTCAACCTATATCACGAATAGTTCATGATATAGCTCATATCATGTTGTGTACTTGATAAAAATCTGAAAAGCAGTGGCTGGCAACCAGGCTATGATAGAGCTGGTCGGTATTTTTTGGCATCAAATGTCATTTTCTTGTCATCCCGTCGAATTGATACACAAAACAAAACAAAATACAAAATGCAAGACGTGTCCTCCTTTTTCTCGCAGAATTATTGTTATCATTCTCCGTCAACGCGGTCAACGCAGCCGTCTCTAGAACAAAACAATTCGACAGTGAGCATTCATAAGGGCGTATACGCGATGATCGATTCTCTTCATCGAATTTCTCTTTGCATTGCTACAGCTAAGCGAAACAATTTTCTAGAATTTGTTCAATGCAGAGTTGTAACAAGTTGTATTAGCTATCAAAAGCAATAGCAAACGTACCGAGAAACGTTAAATCTAGCGAGTTATTAACAAAAGAGAAAATCGATGAAGAGAATCGATCATCGCGTATAGGCCCTTATGCATGCTCACTGTCGAATTGGAAATCTCTCTAACAATAGCAATCATACTTCTAGGGTGAGCAATTCCGAGCCCTTACTTTCTGGATTGCAAGTCTACCGATTTAGAAAATGCTACTAGAATCAGAAAGAGCATTCGCTATGTTGTAGGTAAATTTCAAAACTAAAATTAGTGTAGCGATAATTATCACCTCATCAACTTTTACTTTCAGTGTCCATGTGCAACTAATAGCGAATTCGTTTATTATTCAGTTCCAACCTGGATCAGGTATCAAGATTGGGTCTGCTTGTTTTCTGACAAACGTCAGTTTGATCGTTTGTTTTTAAAACCCAGCTCAGGTTGAGGTTCGCACTGACAAAAAGTTCGGTTTCGCACTGGGTTGGAACTGGTTCCAACCCGGATAATAAACAAATTCGCTATAAGGAACGAAGCTGAAGCTCTTCATCCTCTAGAACGCTACTACCTGGCAGCGGAATCATTGAATGTAATTCCTCTTCCCCCTGAACATCACTTATTCGAGCTGCAGATCGGCGTGATTAAGGTGATCATTGCCGACATAGACGATTAGAAGGAGGGAGTCTAACCGAAGATGAGTCTGCTGATAAAATTGCCTCGATTCCGGACCAGGAGTTTGCTGAAGAACTGGTGGCGTCCGATTAGTATCCTGATGAGCAGATAGAAGCAAATGTTGCGGGTACACTTAGACGATGTACATAAACGGGACGAGACAGATCGAGAGTACATTATAGTAGGAGCGATTTTGTTTTATTTGTCTAATGATTATTATGATTTACTGCATGCCAAAAAAAAAAGTTTGTGTTTGTCACTTTTGCAATTCAAATGAACAAAACATGAGAAAATTGAGCCGTAGATATTTAATTCATTTATTGCATCAATCAAGTCATAGTTCCCTTCCTGATGACCGTGTCCTGACTGAAAACAAATGCAGATAACCACCCATATTCTTGTTTCGTTCGAACCACACAAACAAATGTTTGTTTTGTATGGTTCGGACGAAAACAAGAATGTGGGTTAATAGTGAACTGCGTATAAAAATCATCATCTCGACATGCAAATTGATCACATCGAATAGGGATACATATATGGGTCTCTCTTAGCTCAGTCGCTAAAGGCGTAGCTATAAAGTAGACTGCAGTCTCTATCGGATAAGCCACCTGACTGAGTTGCAGATCGTAGTGCAGCAGAATATCATCACCAGGTTGATCAAAGATTTTCATTACATTTAAGCCGTTCGTTCCATGTGGTGATTGTGTGTTCTCGGATGAAAATCTTGGATAATCTGGGTAAGTTAGAAGGAGGAGTCCCAGACAGTTTATTGGATAAGATCGTACTGAGAGGGATCATCTGGAGTAATCTCGCTACTTTCTACGTATGGTTCATAGGCCGTCAGCACGCTACCTTACTCTTGTGCACATTTGGGCCACGGTTTGTATGGAAGCATGATTGTGTTTCATGTATGAGACCGTAGTAAAAATGTGTGTAAAAATATCTTTCAACAGGCCACCGGTACTTTTTCAGGAGAAATGCTACAACTCAGCCAATTCTATTCCGTGGAGAAGTTTGACTTTAAAAGAATATTGTTTGTAATTTTTCACCTGATTCATGAGATATCAGAGGTCAAAATTTAGAAAATTCGGTCTGGGGTACTCTAATACATGGCCTTCAGAAAATTCCCTTAGATCCAATAAAGGATCTTAGCGAGCTGGTTGTAGGCATACAAAGTATCTAGAAAAAAAAACCACATCATTAGATCAAAGGGTAGACATTTTATATATTTGAGTGAGGTTGGCCTCTGAAAGACTCGATTTGAAATAAATGTCATTGGCGTTCCATAACTTAAAATTAGGTTCAAATTTACAGGTTAACAACATACAGACGTTTGTATTCCCTTATAAACGGGTACCATACACAAACGATATCATAGATGGTGCGACCATATCGCATAGAGTTGGGATGATATCTCGAATTGGTGAACTGAATTTGATGATGATTAGTATTCGATTCAATTAAATAATAATATTAATTCATTCAGAAACATTTTTCCGTTGAATCGGTTGTATTACAGAACAAGAATAATAATAAATTCTTCACAGTCCCACGCACATCCTTTTAATATTTATTACGAGCTCATAAATGGTAAATATTATAGTTAAATAATACGTAAAAGATCGCATCTATTACATTTATGTTTTGATACAAATGATTCTGAGGCATTATTGTTTTTGTTTATGATCTGGCATAAACGTCATGCTGTATCACGCCAGCGTAGTGTGAACACCTCCACTTGATATCTATATCATCTCGCTATATCACTTGATATAGAGCGTAATGAGAACGGAGTATAAATAAAATAATGAATAAATTTTAATCTATTTTAGATTAGTAATATTTTTGAGTGTAGGCCTTATCACTGACTTTTACCGAAAGAGAGTAGATTTTTACTCACTTTTGAGAAACATTGAAGGAGCGTGTATAAGGCTTTAATAACAAACCGCTGTCAAACCATACACGTCATTAATCTTTATTACTCATAGTTTTTGCAGATGTGTTTGAAAATTTTGTTTGAGAAAAAAACCACTTTGAAACTTTTCGAAACGAATTCACCTGGAATATTGTTTTATCCTGTTGGCAGATTGTGAAGATTATTACGGTTTTGATAAATAAAACCTGAAACTTGTCGTGTTCGACTTGAGTAGAAACCAATGAATACAACATATATTTATGTAAAATCTGGGCGTAGGGAAAAGGCAGCAATGTCATTCTCGATAAATATATTTTATTGATTAGTTCCGGGAAATCAATTATGGGAGGAAATCATCAAGTAGATCAAATTTCATAATAATCGTAAGCAGATAGTGTCAAGGCGAATAGTGACCATGGAGATTTTCCAGACGGAAAGCTACTACATCTTTGTTCGTAAGGAGAAGAGTCTGTGGTGGAATCGAGCAACATCAGAATTTCAAATCAAATGTGGTGAGTATGGGAAGAGATTTTTCTTTGTTTATTATCGATTGAACTTGAAAATTTCTATGCACTTGCTAAAGTTGAATTATTTTTGATCAGGATGGGATCTATCTTCGGTGGACGATATCGAGTGTATAGGCATAACACATGGAATTGTAGGTACTATTTCACTTCATGGTGTCCTGGAGCACCATTTGATCATCATTAAAGAGGCTGTACCGGTGGGAGTATTATATGCACCACATCTAGTATACAAGATTAAAAGTATATGCATTCTGGGAGCAGAAGAACCGGATACTATACTACTTCCATGTTCAAAGCACAATACGTCAACAAGCATTAAAACAATCTCTAGTATTTCCGTTGGACAGTCGATGCCAGGTGGATCAGCTCAGAATGTATCGGCATCACCTCGAAATCGTTTGTTTGAAAGCTCTGCACTTGTCAATAAAACCTGGGGAGCAGTAAAAAGTGCAGGAAGCACCATAAAAAATACAACGGAAAAGGCTGCCGCAATCGCCTCGAGTCAAGTAAAATCCACTGTCGGAATGGTCGTGAAGGATCCAGTTCGAATAGAGAAACGCGTCATGGACGAGTTGCATCGAATATTTGACGAAAGCGATAGTTTCTACTATAGTTTAGACTGTGATATTACTAATAATCTTCAACGACGAGGTGAACCTCCGGATGATCGTTTCTATTGGAATCGTAACATGCTGAAGGATATTATCAAACTTGACGACGAAAATTGGGTGCTGCCAGTCATTCAAGGTTTCGTCCAGGTTGAACAATGTGTCATTGGAAACGAATGTTTTACTCTGGCTTTGGTCTCGCGAAGATCTCGGTACCGAGCGGGAACTCGATACAAGCGTCGGGGTGTAGACGAAGATGGCTATTGTGCAAATTATGTCGAGACGGAGCAGGTTCTTTCTCTGCGGCAACACCAAATATCGTTTACGCAAGTACGTGGTTCTGTTCCAATTTACTGGAGTCAACCGGGTTACAAGTATAGGCCGCCGCCTAGGTTGGATCAAGGTGAGTGCTAATAAATTCACAGACTATGTTCAATTATACGTATTATCAAGTTTGTATCAGAAAATCTTATACGTGGTTTGTTTTAATCATGTTTTAATATTTTCAATCACTAGGTGCACTTACATTTACATATTTGTCCCTTAGTTAATATCAACCATTGGATAAATATATAGTGACATGTTGCGGCACAGTTTTAATGAATTTATTTCCTTTTCTAGATGAAAATGAAACTCACCTAGCTTTTGAAAAGCATTTCGAACAAGAAGTTCGGATGTATCAGTCTGTTTGTATAATCAACTTAGTAGAGCAAAGTGGCAAAGAGAAGGTAATCGGAGACGCTTATGCCAACCACGTGGTGCGATATAACTCCGACAAGCTCATCTATGTGACGTTCGATTTTCACGAGTATTGGTAATCCTCTTTTCAAATGTTGTAAGCGTAAGGTAATATATTAAATTGATTTCGTTTGATTCACTTTCCAGCCGAGGAATGCGATTTGAAAACGTTTCCTCATTGATCGAAGCACTGGCTCCGGAAGCCGGATCGATGGGATTTCACTGGAGGGACAGCAATGGTTCGATATGCAATCAAAAGAGTATTTTTCGGGTTAATTGTATGGATTGCCTGGACCGCACAAATGTGGTGCAAACAGCCATTGGAAAAGCCGTATTGGAATCTCAGTTGGTTAAACTTGGCCTAGCTCCACCATATTCACAGCTACCGGAGCAGTTGAAAGTACCATTTATGATATTGTGGGCCAACAATGGCGATGTGATTAGCAGACAGTATGCTGGGACCAATGCTCTAAAGGTGAGTTTTATGTGACATTTCAGGAGACGGGCAGCAACATGTTAATCTTTGTTATATTAGGGTGACTATACGCGCACTGGTGAACGTAAAATCAGCGGCATAATGAAGGATGGAATGAACTCTGCCAATCGGTGAGTACTAGCATAGCAAATAACACGCAAAAGAGGATTAACTTAGCATAACGATGTGTAGCAAAATAAAAACTTTTCAAATGATTCGTAAAAGAGATTGAGGGCACTTGATCCTTGGGTACTACACTGTCTAAACATTCATATCAGTTCCATATTCGCTTTTGTCAAGTTTGAGCTAGCAATTGGCAGCTACTTTAATATTGTGGGATTTTTATAGTAGTCAAGAACTTTGTTCTTAAAAAAGATGAAAACATCAAGTAAGTTTATTTTGCAGGAAAAGTAACCGCATATCAACCAGTCCCAACAAATCTAAAACTTTTTTTTTTAAATAGTATTTTTTAATTAGACATGAAACAAATTTTCTCACAAATTCTGCTTTTCGGTGATTTTTGTTTCGAGCTTCTAAAAACTATTAGGGGAAAAGTTGGCTTCGGCAATACCTTAACCTATCATCGTCAGGGGGGTAAACAAAGTCCTATAGCACTCAAATTTGGCCAATAGTTGCTCTGAAACACAATGTATCCACATGCCAAAATTGAGCTCTCAAGGACGTTGTTTACCCCTGACGATAATAGGTAAAGGTATTGCCGAAGCCAACTTTTCCCCTAATAGCACTCACCTTATTTAAGAGACCGTTTTTCAGTAAACAACCACAAGAATATTTTGAAGTCAGTAAGAATTTCGGAAAGGGAGCCGAAATAACCAATAAGCCCGATAAAAGCCCTGCTTTGCAATAAAATTATATGCGACACTCCTTTCATTTCCACTGCTCCTTGTAGCCAGTTCCGTACCACCCTGATGTGATCGTCACTGTTGCGGACAAACTCGTTCGTTATTTCTAAGAATATTCTGCTGCGGTTTCTTATCCGTAAAGCTGACCACCGTGTCTAATATGGACTGGGAAAACACTGAAAAAAGTTTCACTTAGTTTCTATTAGGAACGCACATAGTATTTTTCCAAAAACAAAAACAATGATTTTTACCTGAATATCACATGGCATTAGAAATTCTATATGAGAAATCACATAGATTTCATTGGACACATAAAATTCATGTGATTTAGTGGCGCAATTTCCAATTATGGGATCACATGAAAGGTATGTGAAATTCACATGGATATTTTCCACTGGTTATGTGATTTATTTTATGAGTGAACATTCTTGATCTTGATGACGTTGAAGCTGCAGCGCAAACGTTTTTCACATGTCTTGGCATACACTGAAAAAAGTTTTCATATAGTTTACATTGGGAACGCAAATTATATTTTTCCAATAACAAAATGAATGATTTTTCTATCTGAAATTCACATAACATTCACATGATCTCATGAATTATATGGTATAAATCACATAAACTTCATTGGACACATAAGGTTCATGTGATTCCGTGTTGCGATTCCCAATTATGAGATCACATGAATATATGTGAAATTCTAATGGATATTTTCCATCGGAAATCTCATTTATCTTTTGAGTGTTACACTACACATATACACACACATATATATATATATATACACATTAGACTGATGCAAAATTTGACTTTTTCGCTCCACAATACTTAAACGATTCCAAATCGGATCCTGACTAACCTCTCAAAATTTGAACCCCTTTGGTGAGAAACTGAGATGGCACAAACCATTTGAAGTTTGTATGGGAATTACTATGGTAAAACCAAGATTTTTGTTCATGTCTATCTAATAATTCACCATATCGGTCTGCTTCAAAAACATTCAATTGTACTTGCAAGAAATTTTCCCAGCTACAACTTTGCCCAAGACCACTTTTTGAGTAAATGCAAGGATCGAAAGTTATTAATGGTTCAATGCGCTGATGTCTACCCAGACAACCAGAATGCACGTATATTCAAAGTTGTTTTCGTGATATACAAACATATATACAAACGAACAAGTCGTATAGAATGCAAAGAAATGGCTTATACGTACAAAAGTGGAGGCCATATACGTGCATATTTTTGTTTAATTTTAAACGAGTTGATTTAACATCATATGCAATTTGATCTGTAATAACAAATCCATTTTGAAAAGTCTTACGATGTAATCCGATTAAATTTGTGATACAGTACGACGGAAAAATGAGTCATCGCATATAAGTCGGAAATTTGCATTCTATACGATTTAACTTAAACATAATGCGAGGTATGCCATTCTAATATGCGATTTTGACTTAAACTGTAGCAATTTACGATACTGTCTGTACATTGTTATACGACTTCTGGTTGTCTGGGTAATGATCATGCTCAATCAACTGCTCAGCAGGCAACATTGGTGTTTCTGGGGCGTTGAATAGGACACAAAAATCATGGCTACTATGTCACACTGCAAAATACAGTGTTGCCTACAGAGCAGCTGCTTGATCATGTCATAAGTTTACCAATCTCTTAAATAATTAATAACTTTTTCCTGTCTCGTTTTACATAGAAACAATCTTGAGCAAAGTTGTAGCTGAGAAAATTTTCTTTAATAATGGCTATCGAACTGTTTCGCAGCTCAATATGGAAAAAGACTAGAAGGCAATGAACAAAAAGTTGAGATTTCCCATAGTAATTTACATGTAAACTTCAAATGGCTTGTGCGATGTCTGTTTCTAACCAAATGAGTTGTAACTTTGGGAGGCTAATCAGGACCCGATTTGAAACCATTTAAGCACTGTGGAGCGAAAAAGTCAAATTTTGCATCAGTCTAATACACATATAGTGCACAGCAAAACATCAATTTTAATATCACATCAAAGTGGATGCACTTCAATCGTGTCGAAATAATGGTTTAACATTACTTGCCAAAAAGGACAAAAATATCATTAATACAGTGCATGAACTGACATTACGCTGCTTTTACTGCATTTGTTTATTGTTGTGGCCATAAAAATTACATGAGATTTTCGACATGATTGAAGTGCATCCTCTTGGATGTTATATTCAAATTTATTTTGTGCTGTGTGTTATACATGTGTCATTGACAAACACGTCCCGAAAAGAACTCACCGCAAAGTTTCTCACCCTCCCTGACGAGTAAGCTACGTAGGTTGAAGTCAATCAAGTGAGCAGCATTGAGAAGATTCACGAAGTATCGCATGCTTCCTCTCAAACTTCACTATGTGAGGCTGAATTACATGTACCATCGAGTCAGTCGTCAATACTTTTTACGTTTTCAACGAGACATTCCGCAAATTTAAACTAAACCCTCCTTAATCCTTCTGAAACTACGACAACAAGCCATGCAGGGAGTCCGAGCTCCCATCGTCTATGGAATTCAACGGAGAAGTTGCTTCCACCCTTTAGGATATATGCTGCCTTTTTACGGACAAGTTTGCCAGTGTATTCACTAATGAGATATTAAGTGGCGACCAGGAACATTCCAGTAAATGGTCAAACGCTGAGTACAATTGATGTTAACGTTGAGATGATTTCTTTTATTTGTCGTCAATCAGTGTAGACCGTTTTACAATACAGTCAACTTTCGCTCGTTGGGCTAAACCCGTAGCCCAGTTAGTGAAAGGCGTTCGTTAGTTGGGCTGAGCTGTCAAGCTGAAAATTGGTTGAGGGATACACCGATTGTTTATTATTATCACAATCCTTTTCCTAAATTAGCAACTATCCAAATTGTTCATACATGAGCCCTTCGAAAATGAATCAGCCCTGTCAGAAATGACGTTTGACTTCGATTTAGGTTGGCTACAGCCCACCTAACGGGAGCCCAACTAAAACGAAGCCCACTTAAACATAGCCCAGCGAGCGAAATTTGACTGAAGTGCTGTTGCCTTACATGCTATTTTAATACATACGTTTTATTTGAAATTGTCAATAAATGTAGACTACATATACTGCCCGTAATCGCATATCAGTCCCATATGGATAGGAAATCAAGCAAAAATGGGACTGCTGTGCGATTATGGGTAGTATACAAATATCTAAGAAATAAAAATTGTTTTTAAATAAATAATAAATGACCTAAATGAGATCCCGGTGGAACTTCCGAGATAACATTAAAGCGGACCATCTGTGTTCTTTCTGTCAAGTATGATCCAACCCATTTTAAAAGTGTACTTGTCATCGTTTAATTTAAGAAGAAGTAAGGGAATGTCTACTCTGTCAAAGGCCTTACTTAAATCAGTGTACAAGGTTTCAACGGTCTTACTCCTATCCATTGCTTCAATAGAAAAATCATTTTTTAAAGAAGAGTGAACTGCTAAATTTTGAGATAGATATGAACCGAAATGATGGTTTCTCCATAGTAATCCCCATATAAACTTCAAATGGTTTGTGCCAAGTCACTTTCTCACTAAATGAGTTCAAATTTTGGTAGGCTAATCAGGGAACAATTTGGAACCGTTTGAGCACTGTGGAGCAATAATTTAAAATTTTGCATCAGTCTACTGGCCACTGATATTGTTGATGGTATCGTTGACAGGCTGGGTACTTCAGGCAAAACCCTTCCAACAACAGTTTCCGAGTTTTCAGCGATGATTTGTTTTTCACCTCTTCTAGCCCGTCTTTCAACTTCTCGACGGCAAGATCCGCAGATGCGTAAAGTGGAATTCATTGTATCTCCGGAATATCAAATCGTGTTCAAGTTCTGTTTGGTATTTTCTGAAAGAATTCGCAGATCCTTTTTTATACACCTTACATCATCTTTTTTTATCGGTTGAATACATTGGGTCATAACAAATCGGTTATCCATATCTTTGTACTGGTGAACCCTGAAAAAAAAAAACGTAAAGATATAAATATACTTATTTTTTACATCACATTTAACTTATGTTTACAGTAACAAGCTTACCTTAACATAAACGAAACTTTGTACAACAGCACTGAATCACCGTCCTTCAAACTATTTCTATTTTCCTCAGATAACGACTTAGACTGCTTACTGTTAGTGACTGATGAAGATATGCTTTAGTAGCTCTTTAAATATCAGTTTTTGCTACCGAAATAAATATTCTTACCAAGTGGCTTGGTATCAATGAAGAATTAGATGGTACCTAAGTATGCAATTAGGTACCAGACATTCAGTGGCTTGATTTTCAACGCTTGTTGTATAGAGACTTGTGCGTCTGATTGAAAAACTGTGGACTGCAAAGTTTAAGGAAATGGATTGGGCTTTTCGTTAAAAATATTTTCAAGGTTATACACTCACGAACAACATCTCAAAAGGGTGAAAATTGCTCAAATTATGCGATTAGTGAATTTTAACCTACGAGTATCTAGAAAATAACAACTTTGGGCAATTTAAGCTCTAAACTACAATATAAATATAAAAAAAAAATAAAAGAAAATATGCAATTTGAGTAATTTAATTGTTTTTTGTAAATAACAAAATATTTTTTTTTCTTGAAAGGCACAATACTTGTCCGCAACTTTGCGGAAGACACCATCTCGATCAAACAAATCGTTCGCGAGATATGTTTTATTCTATTGATGCGTATCATTTTTGTAAAAGCCCTTTTCAAGTGTTAGTCGTGTACAAAACTAGGGAACCAAATGTAAAATGACATTTTGGACAGTAATAAACAACTGTGTAAAATAACAAGTAATTCTATAAACATCGATCCGAAACGATTTGCGAATCTGTGTGGAACTACTCCGTTATCAAAATTGAAAATCTAATTTTGAGGATTTTTAACATTAAAAACACAAAATAAAAATTTAAACTTCTATGAACTGATTAACAAGGGTCAACTCAAGCTGAACGGTGCAAATAAAAGACCAGCATTGCTTACTGATTTAAAATAAATCCATTTTTTCGCTTCGAAAACTTTGACAGCGTTTTTCACAGCTTGACATCATCGTTAGTTTCGCTCCCCCTATACAGATAGAAATCTCCTTATACCTTTTGGCAAATTTCCATTGCTGATTATTCATAAAATGTATAAGTCAACTAATAAGCAGACGCCTTGCAAAAAGTTAATAAAGATCATGTGTCAAATGAAATGTATAAGCGGTCACACATACCTTTCATGCATTCTAATAGGACCTATAGAGATTTTCACGTCCGGTTGCATTGGTGCGATATGTGAGAGTGTGTTAGTGAATATCCGAGGAAAATGCATAACAAATCGATGACAAACTCATTTTGACAGATCTACTTTCATACATTTTTTAGGTTAGCCAGAGGAAAATAATAAACAACTTTACACGGCGTTGCTCCCGCTAGTGTGCGTGCGTTAAACGTCACTAATCTCTATGTGGTTTGTTTTATGGAATGTATAAGGCCGCGGCCAGGGTAGACGCGTTTCGCGACGCGACGCGACCAATTCAAAAGAATCTTATTATTTATTATTATTCCTTGCATGAGTCGCATCGCGTCGCGTCGCGTGTCGCGTCTACCCTGGCCGTGGCCTAAGGCTGATGCTTTGGCAAAAATGTATAAGTGAAACACATGAATGAAATAGGGTTACGGTATGTAATGTGGGTCTAGTCCTTTCATTCGGCCTATCACGCAAATAAATAATTAATTAAGGAATATTACACAAAAAATAAGGAAAATATTGATCACTGATGGTTGATAAATGTGTACCACACACAAATCAATTTATATCACAACATTTCAATACATTTTCAGCTCTCGTAAGTAATAAAACTGGTTGAGAATATCACAATGTTCGGAGTTTTTAGCCGCCATGACTTATAAGGTTAAGATGGGAAGGTTGACTGACGATCATCAAATGGCCTGATTATGGCATTTATTGATTGGAATTACCTGATAATACACACTAGACGTAAAACTTACAGTTGCTGTTTGAATATTTTATGTTTATTTTAATTGTTTAACAACGTTTTCACAAGTAAAACATGGACCCAACTTTAGGGACACATTTCTTTTCTATGTTCCTAACTATGGCCCATGAAATTCATTTGACAGCATATAGCAATAAGAGTAACGTCAACAATGTTGTTTTGCATTTGGATGATAAGGAACGAACAGGAAGGGAGATTTTTTCTGCCAAACCTGTATAATGAACATCACAATGTTCTGATTTAGATATTCTGCGGTCAAAAGACGATAAGCGAAATTTTTAATTTTTAATTTTTAAATTGAGTGATTTAATGTAGTTTTCGTAAAATTTTCTCTAAGAAATGTTTTGAGGAATGAAGAGCATTAAGTTAACAGTGATAGTGATAAAAAAAAATACATCAGAAAACGTTACCAAGAGCGTTTTTTTGAGGATCAAACAAGATAGGACGAAGTTGCATCCATAAATAGACCCAATTTGGGGACAATAGACCCATATTACATACATTTCCCTCGTGAGTTATTGTCTTAAAAAAAGTAAGTTTTTCAACTTTTCGTGGTTTCTGATAGCAAACGACATGATAAGCATATCTAAGCATACCATTTAGCAGTAGAATATCGTTTGCAGGTAAATTCATTGATGAGTTATGATTAAAAACGTAATCGATGGCTGCATATTAGACCGAGGTTAGGGACGTATACCCTAATTGATTTTCGTTTCGTGTAGACCAACAGGTGCTTCGATCGTCTAAACGATTTGTACTCTTAAAAGTAAGACTAAAATAAACATTTGGTCCAAATCGGAAGAGGTCAATATCACTTGCCTTGCACACTTGGCGCGGAATGACCTGTAATGATTATTACATATGAAAAAAAAAATAACCAAACGGGGAATCAAGTGTGCCCAGCCTCCCTTACTTTACTGTCAGGTGTGAGCATTCTCGAAAAAGGTAGTTTATGAATTCTAAATTGTTACCCCTTTTCAATCGTTTCCTTACACTGCTCACCTGGTACAAACATTCGACATCAATTACGCGCATCAGCTACTTCATTCAACATTTTGCTGATTCGTTTCGTCAAAGCTGCATCGATTTGATGCTTGGCAAGCTAGAGGCTTTCGAACCGTTGGTAGAAGATGATCTATGCGAAGCGTTGGTGGGAGTTGCGACAAACGCGATTGTACCGTCGCGTGGCGCTCCATTGGGATACTACAACCATGGTTTGATGAGTGCGGAACACGTAATACTCGAAGAGTTCCTTTGTGGTGCCAGGTTACTCCTCTTATTATTATGTTTCATTGAATTTAATGATTAAATCCTGTACAAGATAATCTATGTGTACCATTGCTGTTTCAGTTACTATTTGGCACGATTCAAAGATACGTACCGGCAAGCCACGATTGATATGATGCTCGGGAATAGTGTGTCAGCGGAGTCGGTGAATGCTCTCGGTGGCCAAGCGGGTGCCGTTGATGAAACGGACGCTTTAGAGGGAGCGGAACATGCTCGGCTGCTCGTTGAGGATTGTCGGCGCTTGCTATTGGGCACAACACAATTGCCAGTGGGTGCTTGGGGTCTTATTGATGCCGATCCGAGGTGAGTGTTTCAATTTCATTGTTTGCAGTTTGTGTGATTAGTTGTTTAAAACATGTTTTCTTATTATTTTTCATGATTTCTTCCAGTAGTGTAGAGGAAAAGTAACTCATACATAAATTGTATTTAATATTTGTAAAATATTTTACACTAAACGTATGTTAGTTGTTTACCGTTGATTGTGCCCCAATTTATAGCTTTGTTGTTATTATATTTTGAGTGTTGTACTTTTAGTTTAGATTTCCACCGTTTTTTAACTTTATAAATTCTTTGGTCAATTATCTTCTCGAAGTAGTAATGTAAGGTGCTAATATCAGTTTAAAATGTATTACCAGTATTGTTTATATTTAAAATAAAATCCTGCAGTGTGCATACTTACTGTTTTGTATTTTAATTTAATATTGTTTTGCTTATTATGCCTATTGTCCATGCGCACACTGTTGGTTTCGTGAAGTCACCATACGAAGTTTATTTCCAAAAACATGACTTAAGACTGTATCTTTACTTGACGCAGTATATTACTCAATGAACTCAATAACTTTCTATTATTTTTATTATTGTTTAAGTACTAATCGGTACACCTAAGAAATGTATCAAAATCCGTACATTTTATACAAAACGTCAAAATAAATACAAAATAGAATGTACGTATTTCGGTATCCTAAAGTAGTTCCCGCGCGTGGTGTAGGCATGATAGAGTAACAACGTTTAAAAAAATTTCCCTTCAAATGCGATCAAAAATAGTGTCATCGTTTGGAACCGCGTCAAGTATGGTGCTGGTACGGTGACCTTCTTTCATCAGTCGTAGGGAAAGTGGGATAAGATCACCGACGAACCGACGTAACAGCTCATAGAAGCTACTTTCAAAATCTTGCCCAAAACGCCATATTTAAAATATGTTAAACACTACCGCCATCTACTCATCCAATCGCGACATATCATGAGCAAGTTTTTTTTTTTAAACTTTATTAAAGAGATTTTTAGCCTTAGGCTAGTTCATCTCTACATGAGCAAGGACACAAACACACGTAAAATTTATATTGACTTGGTTTGCGCCTAACCTCATTTGACAGATCAAATCGCTCATTTGACAAATCGAATTGCGGACAAACGAAATGCTCCAGTGGCATGTCGGTTCGTCGGTGATAAGATGGCCATGTGGCCACATCTTTTGACAATTATATTTGAAAAAATGTATGTAAATCATAGTATGTTCTCATGCTGCGTATTGCAAAACATCTGGAAAAAATATGGGTGATTTATGTTAGTGTTGAAAAAAATACAAATTATAATCTGTTGGTGTTTTAAAATAAAGTTTAAGAAACTTTTTTGTTATTCGTTTATCGGTTACCTGTTACCATAATGTTACTCTTGTTTAATATTGTTCTTATGTGTCACATGTAAATTTGTTTAAAAAAAGTATTGTAAAGTTACAGTGTAAATAACTTGCTTTTAAGTTTTTTTTTTAATATTTCGTTATATTTTAATGTTTATGAAATTGTATTATTTTTAGTAACATAATAATTTATTTAAGTTTTGCGCATAATTTTCAATAAGTTTTTTTTTACTAACTTTTTCCTAAGTCCAGACGTTCTCAAGTTAATGCGAATTAATAATATTAGTAATAATAATTTTCAACGTTTTATACCATTTTCAAATGTTAGTCGTGATGTCCAGCAATGAGATGTGTTTTTCATGATTGTATATTACAAAACAAACAATTCTTGATAGAGCTGGAATTAGGGCGTAACAGCTTTGACTTCTCTAGATGATTTCTCGAAACTCAAGGCACGCCCACGCAAACCAACATAGCCACCGGGAAGGGGAAGTCTTCCCCTACCCAATGGCGACGTTGATTTGAGTGAGCGAGTCTTTGCTTTCTAGAAATCATCGAGAGAAGTCATTGTTTACAAAAGCTGTTTCGCCCTAATTCCAGCTCTATATAGAATTCATTCTCAGATATGGTAGCTGTCAGACTTACCCGTTTCTTTTTAGACGCAGCGGAAGAGAAACAAGTTTATAAGTAAATACTCTCCAATATACCCAAATAATCAACAAACCCTCTAACGTGCCTTCAGTCCTCTATTAGTTGTATACATTGGTAGATTGGATGAATAACAGAGATAAAAAATATAAACAGGTAAACTAATATTAGATTAAACCTCTATTTGAGATAAATCCTCTCGGTACTTCTCTGACGTTTACCATATTGTGCCTAAGGAGCTCATCCCATAGAGATCTCCTAGTACAATCTCATCAACACCCAAGTCCAACGTCTATAATATAGAATAAAAGATAAACGAATACGAAGACCGCGTCAGATATAATGTCAACATTGTATTATTTTGATACATATAAATTGGCAAGTCCTTCACCTGTTCCATTCTGTTCATCTCTCTTAGCGTTTCAAGTCAAAAAGCAAGTTATTTTTTGACTATGGATAACAATTTCAAGTGTTGTAAACCTTCACCTATATCAAAGAAGTGTTGTTCAGAAACAAGAAATTTGGTCAGATGGAGTAATAGAAAAATTAAAATGTTTTGGTTGTAAAATACCTCTGACAGTGGCGTCTCGTAGCGGCGCCGATGGTGTAGTGGTAAGCGTGATTGCCTCTCACCCCAGCAGGCCTGGGTTCAATCCCAGTCGGCGCCGCCGGGATGTTCTGAGGCATCACGCCTTCCTTCGGAAGGGAAGTAAAGCCGTTGGTCCCCGGTTCATGAGTTGATGGGTCGATAGGTAGGGTCCAGGTGTGGGAGCTGCCTTCCTGGCGTCGGTAGCATTGGTGCTCAGCACGGAAATCAAGATCGACGGAAAACAAACCAAAGGGGAAAAAAAGTGGCGTCTCGTCCACCTTGTGTCACCTTGTGCACTGCACAGTCTTGAATTTTCAAAAAGTAAAATTTATGTTTCGTAAAATTTAAGAGGTAAAAACGTAATGCTCAATTAAAACCATTTTTGTCTTATTGGTTTCATATGGATGATAACTGAATTCTCCACCAATTTACTGGATAGTAGCTGAACTGTTTATCACATCGCTTCCCAACCTCCGTTTTACCTAGAAATACTAGAAGGAGAGATGGGCGGAGAGAATGTTTTGAGCCAAATGAACTGTCAAAATCTGAGCCAAACGACCATTCCCATTAGATTTTTTCCGAGGATTTCTTATTCTTACTAGATTGAATTTGAGAGTATTGTAATCGAACAGAAATTCAATCACCTTTTTGTTGCGTGTGCTTCTCAAATTCAACTAGTTTTTGGAATCAAACGCAATATTCTAACTCTATTGATTAATTGATCTTAGTTGGTTAATTAATGGCACCAAAAAATATGCAAAATATTGCGATGCAAGCAATTATTAATTTGCACGTAAATCGAATCAAAAGTAAAAGTAAAAGTCATGTGAAATGCTAAGTTTGGTTTTCTGAGTATTTCTAGTTTTACCCGCCACTGAAAGAAAAGTACGTAAAAACAGACGCGAGACATAGAGCATTTTGACGTTTAATTGGCGCACACTATAGCACCATAGAGATTAGTGACGTATAACGCACGCACACTAGCGGGAGCAACGCCGTGTAAAGTTGTTTATTATTTTCCTCTGGCTAACCTAAAAAATGTATGAAAGTAGATCTGTCAAAATGAGTTTGACACCGATTTGTTATGTATTGTCCTCGGATATTCACTATCACGCTCTCACATATCGCACTAATACAACCGGCCGTAAAAATCTGTATTTAAATCGAAAGAGTGCGAGCAAGAGGGAAACAGATTAGTGAAAAAAAAACCGTCCATTCATTCATGTGAATTGCGAATTGAACGCGTAAACCATGTCATTCAATTGACTTGATCAAAAAGTTGAACCAGGCTCAACTTTTCAAGCCAATTGAATTCAACTGAGTTGATCAAGTGACTTGCCTAGTCTAAACCCAGATTTAGTTCTCCCAGTCTGGGCCGAGGTTTGGGCACTTTTGCTTGTGCACCGGAAACGCGCGTTTTAAAAAACCAGATAAGTTGTTTATGTATTGAAGTCCCGTGAGGGAAAGTCGATGAAGATAATCGATCAACGAGGATAAGCCCTTTTCAAATGTTACGCGAGTAATTGATTTAATCAATCAAAAAACAAACATCAATATTTTTAATCCTGACGAATGTGGGCGTCTTAGTGAAATACCTGTATAAAGAGAGAGAGAGAAAGATTAGTAATTTCCATTTAATTCCACTACCTTATTTGCTTATCCTTGACAGATACGCGTATCTCGTCTACAATGTGCAGACTTCTTCAGTGTCGAGTCGAGTATTAGTACAAGACACTGCACATTGTAGACGAAATACGCGTATCTGTCAAAGGTAAACAAATAAGGTAGTGGAATTAAATGGAAATTACTAATCTTTCTCTCTTTCTTTATAATATTTTTAAATTAATTTTTTTTCTCACTACCTGACTGCATTTCATTCAGTAGCCTCAGCGCATTGATGGAATATTGTTCACGACGTAGTGCAAAATTAAATATGAATCATGGAACAGGATATTGTTGATGACATCCTGAAAAGACCTTTTGCGAGAAGATCCATGGAGGAAAAAACGCTTATTGCAAAAATGGACGTCCCACGACCAAAGTTGGACAACTTGAAAACGACCTGTAAAAGAAATGGTAAAATCAACGCGGAACTTTTATGTTACGGCTTACGACACTAAGTGGCTGTGTGGCTCACACGCAAGGTCAAAACTATTTTGTTGGCCTTGTTTAATTTTTCAAAACCCGTCAGACAATTGCGTATGGAACAGAGCCGGATACGAAGACCTGAACCATCTTTCCACCGCTATCAAAGCTCATTCAGCTGCAAGAGAGCACATCAACAATGGCATGGAATACCGTACGTTTGGAAAAACTCGCATTGAAGATGCATTGGATCACGCCGTTGAAGTTGCGAAAAACAACCATAACTTGATTGTGAAGAAAAACAGAGAGGGGATGAAAACCCTCATTGAATTAGTGTGTTTTCTC